AGGCCCCTGGCGCGTGGGGCGCGGGCCGCAGAGACCCACCTGGGGGCGCCCAGGCAGCAAGAGGCGCGGCGGCTCGGCACCGGCGTGGGGGCTCTCCCGGTCCCGCCCAGCGTGCTGTCGGTACCCCGCACCCAGCCTCCCGGCTCCGGCAGCCTCTCCCGGACCGGACACCCGGCAGGCTCTCGGGCCGGCCGGTGGCGCTGTAGAAGGTCGGCGGCCCAGCGTCTGGAACAGTTAAAAGAACAGCAACGATGCAAGGGAATACTCAGCCTGGGTGGCACGCACACCGCTTGGCGACGGGTAAATACTGGGCATAACGCGGTAGCGTGTGCGGAGAAAGAAAGTACCCCTACCGGTGGGAGTGGGGCACGAGAGTGAAGATAAAAGCAGCAACTTCCAGCCTTAAATGACTGGTGGGGTCATCTCTCCCATCGTTTTTTGTTTGATTTTCTTATCATGTCACTCTAGCTGTTTGGCCACTGCCCCCCTCCCGGAAGCGTTCTCACGGCACTCTGCAAAGTAGGCCTACTGTCCATCAGAAAAGTGACTGACGTAAAAAATGTCACTGCGTCCCTGTAGTTGCTTTTGGGCATTTTATTTATTTGCCTTGCATCTATTTACTTTCCTAACCAGCCAGGTTTTCACTTCATCATCCCTGTTGAAGGCACTTCTTGAGGGGAGGAGAGGAAACCCAAACTCTGCTGCCTCGCTGGAATCGTCACCAGCTCAAGCCAGATGGATTCTGGTTGCACACCTACTCATGGGGGCAGAATGCGATAAGGAGCTGCCTGACTGTGGGCCCCGGAGGAGTTGTCATTAGTGATGGGACTGGTTCACTCAGCTGCAAGTTGTGGCTTACCTATAAACAAACTTGGAAGGTTAAAACTCAAGAGGAAGAGGAAAGACACCAGTTTGACTTTCACAGGCATCCAGCTGTCTATTCTCCAGTCTCTTTCCCATATGGCTTCCCAAAGGAAATCCAAATATGCAAACGATTCTGATTTCCTGGTGGGATGGCATGTCTCCATGTTAATAAGATTCTTTCTTAGACTCCTGGCTTCTTCATTGTTATTAAATGATAATCTATGCAAAGTGACAGGGCAGTATCATTTGCTTCACAGATCCACTGCCTTGTTCCCAAAAGTATCCAAGGATAGGTAACCAGAGTCAGTATAATTTTGAAGTCAGTTCAGTGACTGTTGGTTTCCTCAACTGTGACCTTGCACAAGTATCTCTTAACCTTACTAAGCCTCCATTTCTTCCTCTACAAAATGGGGATATAATGTTTATCCATCTGCCTGTTGGCACTGTGGTTAAGAGCTTGGCTGCTAATCAAAAGGTTGGCAGGTCAAATCCACCAGCCGCTCCTTGGAAACCCTATGGGGCAGTTCTACTCTGTTGTACAGGGTCACTATGAGTCAGAAGCAACTTGACAGCAACGGGTTTGGTGGCTTTGATATGTAATGTACCTGGCACACTCCTTGGCAGTAGTAGTGCCCAATAAACAATCTCTGGTGGAAGGGGGTAGAGCACCCTGAGTGAAAGATCAGGGACTCAGGACATCCTTATTCTTCTCTATCACAATGTTGGAAAAAAGCTACCTCTGTTCATCCTTTTGTGAAAACTTTGTTTTACTAGTATCTAGACTAAGAAGAAAAGGCCTGGCTATCTACTTCCAAAAATCAGCCAGTGAAAACCCTATGGATCCCAGCGGTCCAGTCCCATTATGCATGGGGTCGCCATGAGTTGGGGGTCTACTTGACAGCCGCTAACAACAGCTTTACAGTAAATAAAACAGACGTTCGATCGTAGTCTGGCCCCATTTTAAATTAGTTTACTCAAAATAAGTGTAATGATGTTGACCTAGTTTTTAACTTGTTTGCTTTGTAAACTTTCACTGCCTCACGGATCTTTGAACTTTACCCGATGTTTTCTCTCCTATCTCTGGTAATTTCTAAAGTCACCCATGGCATTCTGTCTAAACTCAGTGGTTTTTTCTCACCCTTTATCCTATGCAATTTTCTGAAATGTGGCACTTCTGCTATTTCATGAAACATCATCTTTTCACTTATCTAGAATAATTCTGATTCTCTTACCTTTCTGACCCACCCATCTCTGTCTCTTTGTAGGGTATTTTGTCTCCCCAACCTCTAACAGTAATATTCCCAAAGCTGACATTGGCCCTTTGTTTTTATTCTGATATATACTTTTTTTTTTTTTTAATTAAGAGAGTTGATAGTTTTTTGTGCTTCCAGGCCGGACTTCAGTGATTAACTCACAGCTCTGTAGCCTAGGGTGGCTCCTCAGCCCTGATCTCTTACCTGCACTGTACTCCCTTATTATCAGCGGCCCAGAAGCCCTCTCCTGTGGGCAGTTCATTGTCTCATCAATGTCAGCATGTTCAGAGTGAAACTCATCACTTTTCGAAGCTAGCTCCTTCTCCCACCATCTGTCAGGCTTGGCCAAGAGTCCACCACGCACCTCAGCTCCCAAAGTAGAAACTTCGTGGCAGCGTGACTTCCTCCCCTCTATCTTAGCTCTCCCCAGGTAAAGAGAGGAGAACTCACTAGAGGACATTCAGATCCCTTTCAATCTAAACTCCCATGATTCTGAGTCCTGTTGATTCTTAAACATCTCTTTGATAGCATCTCTATTTCCAATACCACCATCCTAATTTTCACATTATTACTAACAATAATTGTAATGTATATTTACTGAATTCCTTACATTATCATCTCTAGTCCACATACAATATTATTATCCCCATTTTCCAGATGAAAAAACTGAAACGGTAAGTGCCAGAGCTGGGAACAGAACCCTCATGTACTTGACTCTGAATCTCTCATTCTTTCCTCTTGTACCCACTACCTTCCAACTGGTCTCCCATAACTTACCTCCTCCCATCCCCAAAATTTATATGGAATATCAATGTCATCGTAACCTGCCTCTCTTTTGCCCCTTCCATCGCACAAGAACCTACTGTGGTACTTTCCCTAAACAAGGGGCACTGAGCAGATCCTGCCTTCATTATTAACTGTGTTGTAAGGATCAACCGGCAGAGGCGAACTAGGGTATGGCTGGTATGGCAGGTATTGCACCAGCCCTGCGCGTGTGGCACCACTGAGCAGTTTCTATTAACCCGTTCTGGCCAGTAACGTATCTACAGAAAGTGGCACCTATAGCAAGCACTGAAATTGTGCCCCTGTCCAAACATCTGACACACCTCTTTTAGATAACTTCACCATAATTTCAGCTCAAAAATACACGTCAAGCTCGTTAATATTCTAATTAACACATTACCTGCTTGAGGAAGGACGTTGGGCAGTACCGGGTTAATAGAAACTGCTAAGTGGCACTGCGCACCCAGAACCAGGGCAATACCCTAGATACGGCACTGACGTCAACAAGAGTCCAATCCCCGAAGTATGGGGATAGATTCAGTCCTCACCTTCCCACTTCTCCATCCTCGTCACCAGCCACTCACATAGCATACCCTCTGACTCTATCCACCCAGAGCTGTGTCAGAGCCCACGAGTTAGGCAGATACCATCTTTCAGACCAGCTGCCTATGCAGCATTTCTTGGAACTATCCACCCAGAGCTAGGTCATCAGTCAGACCTCACACGTTAGAAGGATGCCTTCTTTCAGACTGTCAGAAAGGCAGATACCAGCCCCTGCTGGCTCTCACTGCCCTTGTGGGTCTGTTAATTCACTGGAATGACTTACCGAAGATACCAGAGTATACCATAGTTAATGGCTGTAACTCTTTTACAACCAAAAAGGATACAGACAAAGAGACACCTAGGATAAGGCCTGGAAGGGGGTCACAGCATAGAGCTTTGAGGTCCCAAAGAACAACACACTACTTGCCAGTGTGCGGGCACAAAGCAGAAAACTCCTCTGAGCCTTGGGCCCTTATCTGCCTTCCCATGTGGCCGTGGTAGATTACATCATGCCTCGTGAGGCTTAGGCAGCATGGGGCGCTCAGGTGGTCCCTCTTGGTCTGATCAGCCCCCATTCATTAGCCTCAGGTGTTTGTGCAGCTAGGAAAAGCAGAACAAAGGTCAAGCTGCGGTCTGCAAGGTGATTCCCCACCTCAAGCTCCCCATTTCCCACCACAGTCTTCCCAAACTCTTCTGATCACAGAAGGGTGAGCATTTGCCCCAAGGAAGGCTGGGGGATCTAGCCCTCAGAAGCAGACGTTGGTTTCTAGGCTGCCATAACCAATCACAAACTGGGTGGCTTAAAACCACAGAAATTTATTCTCTTAGTCCCAGTCTGGAGGCCAAAAATCTGGGAAAAAGGGTGTCAGCAGCTCTAGAGGAGACTCCTTCCCTGCCTCTTCCAGCTTCTGGTGGCGCTAGAAGCTCCTTAGCTTGCGGCAGCGTGACTTCAGCCACTGTCCCTGTCTTCACATGACCCTTTGTGTCCTCTCCCTTTGTCTTTTCTTGTAAGGGTAAGGGTGTTTGTCATCGGATTTAAGGTCCACCCTAATCCAGGATGGTCTCATCAGGAGGTCCTTGACTTCTTACAGCTGCAAAGACCCTTTTTTCAAATGCGGTCAAATTCACAGGTTCTGGGTGCACATATCTTTTGAGGAGGCCATGATTCAACTCACTATAAGATCCAACACGGGTAAGACATTTCTTTGAAGTCTATGTTTATCTAAAAATGCATATACGTTTCTGCACTCTTCTCCAGTAATATGCCTATATTTGTTTGACTTATGAAATGTTGAAAGTGCTAAAAGTATAAATTCCTCAAAATCATGTGGGCATTAAACTCTCCTGTTTGTCTTTCAAAGCCCTCTAGAACTTAGTCCAGTCCTGCCATACAATGTAGTTTGTAACTCTGCCCCAGTATAAGCTATTTGCTTCAGTCTCTCTGGTTTCCCCACTGTCCCTCACTTAAACTCGTTGCACTAATTTTCACATCCTACAGTGCTGGACGCAGCTAGGAATTCCTAGCCCCCTCACCTCCTCATCTATTTAAAGCCTGAAGCCCCTGGGTGATGTAAACAGTTAACATGCTCAATTGCTAACTAAAGGGTTGGAGTTTTGTGTCCACCAGAGGCACCTCAGAAGAAAGGCTTGGCAATCTACTTCTGAAAAATCAGCCACTGAAAACCCTATGGAGCACAGTTCTGCTGTAACACACATAGGGTCATTATGAGTCAGAATCGACTCTAGGGCAACTGGTTATTTATTTATTTTTCTTCCTTCAAAGCTCCATTCAAGCCCTCCTCTATCTAACCCCCTCCTTGGAGTCATCCATAACACAATAGTTGAGAGTGCTGAGTCAAACTTTGGAGGTTCAAAGCCTGCTTACAAGCCTATGGTTTGAGTCGTTTAACTACCCTGAGCCTCAGATAAGAGTACTGTGGCAAAGAATTATGAGGATTAAATGAGATAACAAAAATGCCTAAACTATGTGCTTGTCACACAGTAAACACGTCAGCCTTTCTGTGACCTATCTTAATCCTCATTCGATTCAACATTACTATTACGTTTCCATTTGTAAGATGTTGTAAGTGGCAGTTCAGGAGGAACAAAGATAGATTAAGTTTCCGATCTCAGAGGAAGGATAAAACCAGTACACAAATAACTACAATATAAAGCTAACTACGAAATGTGTGAAACAAAATATGAGAATCAGGAGAGGGTTTCTGAAAGGTGGCAGCTTTTAAAATGGGCCTTGTGGAGTCCCTGGGTGGTACAAATGGTTAACGTGCTCAGCTGCTAACCAAAAGGTTGGAGGTTTTAGTCTACCCAGAGGTGCCTTGAAAGAAAGGCCCGGTGATCTACTTCCAAAAAATTAGCCATTGACAATCCTGTGGAGCACATCTGACACACGTGGGCTTGCCATAAGTTGGAGTAGGCTCAATGGCTACTGGTAACTGGTAAGAAACAAACAAAAAATGGGCCTTGAGAGATGGAGCTGCCGTAAGTTGGCTACCTTACACCCAATCCCCTCCTAGTTTCAGGGAGTCCTCCTGTCCAGTCATTGCAGAGAGGCAGTGGGCTCTTCTCTCTCCTTGCTCTCAGAGGCCCTGTGAGGTGTACAACATGAGATTGGACACTAGAACCTCCCACTCAGGAATTGAAACTCGAGAGGGTGACAAAGATAAAGGAGGGTGAGATGAGAATTGCCCTGAACACAATGGTCCCGGCACTTGCCGACTGCAGTAGTTAGCTTGCTTCGTTCTCTCCTCTTCTCTCTGCTTCTCCAACTCCTCTGCAAACTACTTGATATCCTTCCAGTAAGTTCCTGGTCTACTTTAGGCAGCCAGAGGCAATTTATCCTGCTGGCAACCGAACCTTCTGAATGAAACAGACTGTAGGATCTTGAAAGGTGGAGACAGGCGGGGAGGAAACGAGGGAGCATAGAACCATGAGGACAGAGGGGGGAATGCAGGAGGACTTGATGGGAGCAGGGAGTGCCCCCTTTACCTAAATGGAGCAGAGGATGCATGTAGAGGGTCATGAGGAGATAAGACCAGGACAGAAGGTCATTAAATGTGGACAACATCTGGACTTTGCTTCAGGAAAACTCATTTGATAGATGCACCAAATGGTTGGAAGAGGAATAGCTGGAGATTGGAAGTTTGCTAGAAGTTTGCATTGTTGTTGTTATTAGGTGCCATCACGTCAGTTCTGACTCATAGTGACCCTGTGTACTACAGAATGAAACAGTGCCCAGTCCTGCACCATCCTCACAATTGTTGCTATGTTTGAGTTCATTGTTGCAGCCACTGTGTCAGTCCATCTCATTGAGGGTTTTCCTCTTTTTCGCTGACCCTCCACTTTTCCAAGCATGATGTCCTTCTCCGGGGACTGGTCCATCCGGATAACATGTCCAAAGTATGTGAGACAAAGTCTCGCCATCTTCCCTCCCAAGGAGCATT